ACTCCCCACCACACCTGGCTAATGTATTTTTTGTTTTTTCTGTAGAGATGTGTTCTGACTATGTTGCTCAGACTGCAGTAATAAATCAGAAACGTGAGTCCCCGTAACTGATTTTTTTTAACAGTGTTTTGCTCCTGTTGTACAGGCTGGAGTGTAGTAGTATGACCTCAGCTCACTGTAACCTCCACCTTACAGGTTCAAGAGATTCTCATGCCTCAACCTCCCTAGTAGCTGGGATCACAGGCGCCCACCACCACACCCAGCTAATTTTTGTATTTTTACTAGAGATGGGGTTTCACCATGTTGCCCAAGCTGGTCTCAAACTCCTGGCCTCAAGGTATCTGCCTGCCTTGGCCTCCTAAAGTGCTGGGATTACAGCAGGATCCACCTAATCCTGCCCCTTGTTGAGTTACTTAATGAACCAACCATAGGTCTGCTCAGACTTCCTGTTACGTATGATGATAAAATTCCCGGGCTGTTTAAACCACTTTTGGTTGCGGTTTCTTGGTGCAGCTACAACATCCCAACTGTCAAAAGGATTGAAAGAGGAGATTTGGGGCCAGGTGCGGCGGTGCACACCTGTAATCCCAGCACTTTGGGAGGCCAAGGTGGGCAGATCACAAGGTCAAGAGATTGAGACCATCCTGGCCAACAAGGTGAAACCTCATACAAAAATTAGCTGGGTGTGGTGGTGGGCGCCTGTAATCCCAGCTACTCAGGAGGCTGAGGCAGGAGAATTGCTTGAACTTGGGAGGCAGAAGTTGTAGTGAGCTGAGATCGTACCTCTGCACTCCAGCCTGGTGACAGAGTGAGACTCCATCTCCAAAAAAGAAAAAAGAAAAGAAAGAGGAAATTTTGTTACAGGTATTTTTGAGAAAGACTACAGTGTGCAATGGAAGACAAGGCCGCAAGGGGCCTCCTTTAGGGCAGTGTTACTCAAAGTGTGGTTCACAGACCTGCAGCATCATAATTATCCTGGAATTTGTTAGGAATGCAAATTACCAAGGGCTTCACCCTAGACTGATCAACTCAGATTCTCTGGGGGTGGGACTGGGACTCTGTGTTTATCTTTTGTTTTTACTTTTTATGGATACACAGTATTTTACATATTTATGGGATGTCTGTGATATTTTGTTACACGCATAGGATGTGTAATAATCAAGTCAGAGCATTTGATGTATCCATCACTTTGGGAATTTACCTATGTGTTAAAAAACAATTCAAATCCTCCCTTCTAGCTTTTTGTTATTGTTGTTGTTGGAACAGGGTCTCACTGTGTCACCTAGGCTCTGGAATGCAATCTCAGGTCACTGCAGCTCCAGAGATCCTCCTTGCTTTAGCCTCCAAGTAGCTGGGACTACAGATGTGTGCCACCACACTTGGCTATATAAATTTTTAAATTTTTTGTAAAGGCAAGGTCTACTACTTTGTTCAGGCTGGTCTCAAACTCCTGGACTCCAGGTATCTTCCCACCTTGGCTTCCCAAAGTGTCTTACAGCTATTTTGAAATAGACATTGTTGTTAATTATAGTCACTCTACTCTGCTTTAAACAACAGAACAGGCCGGGCGCAGTGGCTCAAGCCTGTAATCCCAGCACTTTGGGAGGCCGAGGCGGGTGGATCACGAGGTCAAGAGATCGAGACCATCCTGGTCAACATGGTGAAACCCCGTCTCTACTAAAAATACAAAAAATTGGCTGGGCATGGTGGTGCGTGCCTGTAATCCCAGCTACTCAGGAGGCTGAGGCAGGAGGATTGCCTGAACCCAGGAGGCAGAGGTTGCGGTGAGCCGAGATCGCGCCATTGCACTCCAGCCTGGGTAACATGAGTGAAACTCCGTCTCAAAAAAAACAACAACAACAACAACAACAACAGAACATAAGCCTTTTATCTAATTGTAAAAAGTCCTTCATTAACCTGAATCTCTTCATTTCTCACCCAACCATTCCCAACCTCTGGTCTCTACGTTTCTACTTTCTAAATTTATGAGATCCCCTTTTCTTAGCTGCCAAATATGAGTGAGAACATGCGACATTTAACTTTCTGTGCCTGACTTATTTCACTTAACTTAAGGACATCCATCCACGTTTCTACAAATGATGTGATTTCATTCTTTTTTATCTGTGTTTAAACAAGGTCCCCCTCCAGGGATTTTGAAGCAACTGCAGTTGGAGAAAACAGACCGAGGAGACTCCTGCAGCTGGGAGAGTGATGGTCTAACAGAGGAAGTGCTGTGCCACCAGCTCATCTTTGCCCTCCTGGAGCTGTCTAGTTTTCTTTGATTCAGTTTTCTTTTCTGTCACTACACTGTGAGAATCAGATGAAGAACCGAGGTAAAAATGGTTTGAAAACAAGCAGGATGCTTGCTTGCTCATGGCTGTGATCCAGACCTTTGGGAGGCTGATGAGGGAGGATCACTTGAGGCGAGGAGTAAGAGACCAGCCTGGGCAACATGGCAAGACCCCATTTATGCAAAAAAAAGTATTTATTATTTTTTGAGACGGGGTGTTCCCTCTTTTCTAGGCTGCAGTGCAGTGGCGCAAACTCAGCTTACTGCAGCCTCTGCCTCCCAGGTCCAAGCGATTCTCCTGCCTCAGCCTCCTGAGTAGCTGGGATTACAAGCATGTGCCACCACGCCTGGCTAATTTTGTATTTTTAGTAGAGACAAGGTTTCACCATGTTGGTCAAGCTGGTCTCGAACTCCTGACCTCAGGTGCTCCACCTGCCTCACCTCCCAAAGTGCTGGGATTACAGGCATGAGCCAGCTCGCGGCCAAAATTGTTTATTTTATTTTTACAGTTCCGCGTCGCGCTCAGCCCGGCTTGCTCCGGGCCAGACCTCCGGGGGCCCCAAAATTGTTAAAAATCAGCTGAGTGTGGTGGCGCACACACTCGGGAGGCTGAGGCGGGGGGCTCGCTTAGGCCCAGGGGTTGGAGGTCGCAGTGAGCTATGATCGCACCAGTGCTCTCCAGCCTGGGCAACAGAGGGAGACTCCGTCTTTTAAAGAAAGAAAACGGCGCGAAAGGGCTGAGAACCTTGATTCCCAGGGGAGTCCGTGCGCTGAGCCAGCCTCTGGGGCCGGACTCCGCCTCCCTGCCCGGAGCATCTTGGGGAAGGGCCTGCCTCCATCTGCGTGTCCCGGTGGGGAGTCACCGTCATTATTCATTGGACTCAAGTGCTCCTGTTTTGTGTTCTCCCGTTCGGATTCCTGCGTGCGTGAATGGGGAAGGACTGGACACCCGGGCGGCGCCCTGCGGGTCAGGGCGGGGCCCGCCGCGGTCGCGGGGCCGCAGCCACCCCAGCCCTCCTCCCGCCACGTCCTCCAGGAAACGCTGCTCAGGGCCTCCATTGACAGGGACCCGCTGTCCTGGGGACAGACGCAGGAGTAAGTCGTGAGCCCTGTGTGAAGGGGTAGAGCATCACTGTCCTCACGGACAACTCGGAGAGTCCCGTTAGGAGAGGCTGGCGGTGCGGCATCTTCCGGTCTCCGGCAGAGGGCGCGCCCCTGGTTAAAGTACCAATCAGAGCACGTCAGGCCAGCGGGCCACCGCCCAGGAACCACTCAGGGCCCGCCGCATGCGCTGCCTGCTCTTCCACTGGGCGAGCTTCCTGCCAATCAGGGCGGCCTCAGCCAACAGCAGGAGGCGGCCGGGGCGGCCGGCGAGCGGGCGTGAGCGCGTCACGCTGAGGACGCCGCAGCCTTCCCTCCCGCGCGCTGTCTCTCGCCCCTTCAGGCCCGCCCGCAGCCGGCCGCGTCGTGCCAGGCGCTGCTTGGCGGTAGGGAGTGCCCAGGGCAGCCGAGCCCGCTGCCCAGAGCCAGAGGGGTGGTGGTCGCCACGGGGCGGGAGCCCGACAGCCGTCGCCAGGACGGTGCCATGTCCAGCTTCGACGCCGAAGACGGCTTTCCGGAGCCGGCCACGCCGCCGGGACACGGGCTGCCCTTGCTGCCCCAAGAGGTACCAGGGGTGCACAGCGGGCCGGGGGAGAAGCGGGGGCCAGGCAGAGCTGACCTTGGCCGGTGGGGGGCTCCAGGCTGGGGGCGGGGCCCACGGACCTGCGGCCCCTTCGCCCGCCTGCGCCCGCCTGCGCCCCTCCCCCGCCAGAGCTGATGGTGTCTGACCACGCGTGGTGGCTGGCGCCTGTAATCCCAGCACTTTGGAAGGGAGGATCCCTTGGGGGCAGGTGTTGGAGGCCAGCCTGGGCAGCATAGCGAGGCCCCGTCCCTACTGCAACTGGGAGGGAAAAAAAGGCATTTCGGGTTGGATAAATACAAAAAAGAAAAGAAAAAGATGTTTTCTAGAGAATCCAGCAGGATGCCTTAGTGGTCGCTGACACCTACTCTTCAGCTGCCTACGGAACAGGGCAAGGCGCTGTCTGCAGATAAGGGGCAGGCCAGTTCATAGATGTGTCCATGGTCAGCGGGCACCCCATGGCTTCCACTGACAGGCTGCTGTGCTGATGCGCCGGGGCGTCCACCGGTCTTACTTAATGTGTGTGATACTATCATGTCAGCACCTGAAGTGACACTCAAGAGAAAGGAAAAGATACCAGGCGTGGCGGCTCACATTTGTAATCTATCTCAGCACTTTGGCGGGCTGAGCTGGGAGGACTGCTTGAGCCCAGCCAGGACAATAGTGAGATTCTGCCTTTACAAAAATAAAAGTAAAAATTAGCCAGGAGTGGTGATGTGCGCTTGTAGCCCCCGGTGCTCAGGAAGATGAGTTGGGAGGATCGCTTGAGCCCTGGAGGTTGAGGCTGCAGTGAGCCATGACTGTGCCACTGCACTCCAGCCTGGGTGACACAGTACGACCCTACTTCCAAACAAACAAACAGTAAAAGCAAGAGAAGGGAAAAAATGCTGGGTGTGGTGGCTTACACTTGTTATCCCAGCACTTTGGGAGGCCAAGAGTCTGGGACCAGCCTGGGCAACACAGTGAGACTCCATCTCTACAAATAAAAAATACAGAGGAGGGAAGGTGAAGCATTACTGAACACCGAACATGGCTCCTAGGAGGCAGGGACCAAGGTAGTGCCAGATCCAGGAGCATGTGGTATGTGGAGTCCCAGGGCAATGGATAGAAGCCCTCGTGGGCTGGGCTAGGTAATACTCTTGGGAAGCAGACGGTGTTGTGCTGGGATAGCAAGCCCTATACACACAGTGTCATGGGAAAATGAGCAAAAATTTAGAAGTAATCCCTGCAATTGAAAAAAGTCATCAGTCACAGGGGTGCTGTTTTTTGTGCACTGTCATTGGGGAAATGATGTGGTTTGAGGGAAAGAGCACAAGACCATAGACTGCAGACCAGGGCCTCACTGCCAGCTCCCCACACTGATTCCATTGTTCCATGTGAGCTCTAAAACTGTTTTCCATGGCTTTCGTCCTCTCCGCTTCAAAATCCTGTTATCTCTAATACGGAGCAAACACCTGGATTGGAATGAAGTATCTTTGGAAAAGGTTTAAAGAGCTCCATAAATGTTAAGTATTACTATTCCAAAATGACTCAGAAAGTTGTCATCTGTGTGGAGAGGAATAAGTGTAATTCCACATGGAAGGGGTAGTCTAAAACAACTTGGAGAGTACCTTTAGACGCAGATTTTGGGTCTCAGCATTGCCATGGGAAGGAAGCATGGTGTGTAGCAGTGGTTCCCAGACTTTCAGTAGTTTAAAACAACAACCAAAAAAGATGAAAGACTGATACAGGGTTGTTCTCCTTTAATTTTGCCAAGAAGTTTTTTTTAAAAAATCCTCTGCTGTTACTGTCGCTTAACACTATAACATGGAAAAACACCATCTCAACAACAAAATAGCAACTAGGTGTGGCACTCATCTGTAGTCCCAGGTACTTGTGAGGCTGAGGTGGGAGGATCACTTGAGTCCAGGAGTTGGAGGCTGCAGTTAGCCATGATCTTCCCACTGTGCTCCTGCCTGGGCAACAGAGTGAGACTGTCTTTTTTAAATTTATTTTATTTTTTATTTTGAGACTGTCTTGCTCAGTTGCCCAAGCTGAGTGCAGTGGCACGAGCACGGCTCACTGCAGCCTTGACCTCGCAGGTGCAAGCAGTTCTCCTGCCTCAGCTTCCCAAGTAGCTGGGACTAGAGGTTCGCACCACCATGACTGGCTAATTTTTGATGTTTTGTAGAGATGAGGTCTCACTGTGTTGCCCAGGATGTTCTCAAACTCCTAGACTCAAGTGATCCTCCAGCCTCAGATTCCCAAAGTACTGAAATTACAGGCCACACTTGGCCGAGACTCTGTCTCCTAAAAAAGAACACAGAACGTTTCCCAAGAAAGGACTTCTGACAATCTTACACCCAAACAATTGAAGGACTTGATGTCTCAGGTGCGTGTTTGTGAAATGAGAAATAATTATAGCTGCTGCACAGGCTTGTCAGTGAGGGTTATGTAAAGAGCCTTGGTGTGACCCCAGCCATGTCCTTTTCAGAGTATGTGGCTGGAACTCTTAGCCCCTTCAGTCTGACATTGTAGATGACTAGAGACCTTGAACCAAACGCCCAGGGAGGCAGAAACTCCAATCACAACATCTCTGAGCTGGCCTCCAAGTAGCATTGCCCACATTTTGGGAAAGGTCATTTTTATTCTCAGAAAGGAGCCCCTGGTCGGATAACTTGCTTGGATGCATCTGGGTTTCCCCGGTGGCCTATCAGCTGCCTCAGTGCTGAGAAAACAAAGTGTCACATTGCTCTGCAGAACTATAAAAAGATGTTTGTTTGCAGGCTGCTTGGGGTAGGAAAGTGCTGGCCTCAGCTGGCGGCTCCCACAGCACTCTTAGCTGGGTCTTTCCCCAGGGTTTTGTTTTTCAGAGCTCACCAAGGTTTGCTGAAGATCTAGAAGGGATTTTGGGGAGGCGGATCCGAGTTTGATTTGAGGTGGAATTGCCCATGCCCAGGTGGCCACAGCTAGAGAGTGACAGCGCCAGGCAAGGACATGGCAGAAAGCAGGAGATGGCGCTATTCATACTTTGGCTGATGAGCTCCTGTGACCTGTGATTCATCAGCGCAGATGAAGTTGTTGAATGACCCAGATAAAATAGGGGGTTCAGGGCATTCTTCAAGGTGCATTTCTTGCTGTGCAGCTTATGTACCCAAAAGCACCTAACATGAAGGCTGCTTGGGCCTCCACCTGGGGTCTGTCTTGTCATCGGCTTGTCACACTCTGGTCTAAATGCCTCTGCTGAAGCTGGACCATGGTGGATGTGGGTGTAGAGTCAGCTATGGCTGGATCTGATTAATGCTTAATAGTAATACTTAGCGAGTGTTAGCTGGTGTTGTATTAGGTCATAGACTAAGCTCTTAATGAGGTAGCAGCATAATCTTCAGGTTTATTCACTCTTTTCCACATGTACCATTGATTTATCTGATGACTGTTAGCGCTAAAGAATCTAAAAAGCTGGTGGCTCGCACCTGTGTTCTCAGCTATTCAGGAGACTGAGGCAACAGGACTGCTTGAACCTAGGAGTCAGAGGCTGCACTGAGCTATGATTGTACCACTGCCCTTCAGCCTGGGTGACAGAACAAGACCCTATTTCTTAAAAAAAAAAAAAAAAAAAAAACAGGATTTGTAAAGTGAATTAGAAAGACTGAATTTTTTTTTAAGAAAATGTAATATGTGATTTTATTCAGCCCTGGAACCAGTTTGTTCAGACATTAAGGTTAGGCATTTTCTCTGCTGTTCATAGCTACAGAGTAATACTAGTGGCAAGGATGGGGAACACCAAAAACCCTTCTACATTGCTGGTGGGAATGTAAAATGCTGCAGCCACTTTGTTAACCACACAGTTAACTTATGACTGAACAATGCTACTCCTCATACTTAAAAGAAATTTGTGCTTGTGTCCACTAAAAATCCTTTTTTTTTTTTTTTTTTTTTTTTGTTGAAGTGTCAGTCACCCAGGCTGGAGTGCAGTGGCATGATCTCAGCTCACTGCAGCCTCCACTTCCCGGGTTCAAGCAGTTTCCCCCCCTCAGCCTTCCGTGTAGCTGGGATTACAGGTGTGTGCCACCACACCTGGCTAATTTTTGTATTTTTACTAGAGATGGAGTTTCACCGTTTTGGCCAGACTGGTCTCCAACTCCTGAGCTCAGGTGATCCTCCTACCTCGACCTCCAAAAGTGCTGGGATCACAGGCGTGAGCCACCACACCCAGCCTAACGATCTTACATAGGAATGTTCATCCCAGCTTTACTTGTAATAGCCAAAAACTGGCAGCAACCCAGTTTTGGGGTTGTTTTATTATTTTATTATTATTATTATTTATGTAAGAATACCTGTTGTCAACAAGACAACAGGGTAATAAATTATAGTATATTCGTGTAAACGTATACTTACATACATAATAATAATCAGTTTTTAAAAACTACTGGTACACACAATATGGTGGGTAAATTTCAAAAACATTATGTTGAAGTAAAGAAGCCAGGTACGAAAGAGAACATACTATATAATTCTATTAATATGAATTTCAAGAAATGGCAAAACTAATCTTTAATGATAGGAGGAGAAGTTAGAGTGGTTGTTTCTGTAGGGATTAACTGGGAAGTGGCACAAGAAACTTTAAGGAATGGAAATGTTTTATCTTGATCTAGGTGGTGGCTGGATGGGTGTATTCATACTTACAAAAAAGATTGAACTGTACAGTTAATGTTTATACATGTATTGACTATTTCACCTCAGTTTTAAAACTATAATACCTAATATTATACCTAATAATAGTAATTGTAGTTGCCTACTGATAACAGCAACTAATAACGCTTATTGAAGCTTTACTGTGTGCCAGGGATTTTCTAAGCACTTAATTCCCTAATACATTATGAGGTTTTATTGTTTTCTCCAATTTTACAGACAAGGAAACTGAGGCATGGAGAGGTTAAGTTCACTTACCCAGTGTAACACCTTTGGCAGTCTGGTTTTGGATTCTGTCCAACCACTGTGTGGCACTGCCCAGGAGCATGAGCTCCTTTTCACTGACACTCTTTCCTTCCTGCTCAGAGATGTGCTGAATTTCCTGCGCTCAGGGGACCTGCCACCCAGGGAGCGTGTTCCGGCTGTGTACAAAGAGGCCCAGTACTATGCCATCGGGCCCCTCCTGAAGCAGCTGGAGAACATGCAGCCTCTGAAGGGCGAGAAGGTGCGCCAGGCATTTCTGGGACTCATGCCCTATTACAAAGGTGAGAGTCAGCTGCCCAGGATGGTGGGTATGAGGAAGGAGGTGTACAAGGCATCTGCGAGTCTTTAGGTCTCTACCAGAACACCGAGGGCGGCATTCATCCAGATTACTCAAGATGGGAGGGAGTATCCTCGATCCCAGTCAGGCGGGGCGATTCAGGTTAAGGTGTGCCTACCTTGCCTATGACAGTCAGGCTAGAGAGATTCAGGTTAAGGTGGGCCTACCTGGCCTGTCCGTCCCAGTCAGCAAATTGTGTTTCAGGACAGCCCTCGTCCCATTGGTTTCCCTTTGCTGTGCAGAACCATGACCCTTGTTTAAGTTTGTGCCTTTAATTGGTCCCCTCGGTCCCTCCCCTGGGAAATCTGTCGTTCCCCTCCTGCATCCTACCATCATCAGGACTGTTTCTTTGTGTATCTCTGCTGGCCTGTCCTGCCCCTTCACCCCGGTAATGGGTGTTGTGTTCACCCTCATAGACCACTTGGAGCGGATTGTGGAGATTGCCCAGCTGCGTGTGGTCCAGTGGAAGGCCCGCTTTGCCAAGCTCAAGGTCTGTGTCTTCAAGGAGAAGATGCCCATCACCCCGTTTGAGTGTCCGCTCCTCAACTCCCTGCGCTTTGAGCGGAGTGAGAGTGACAGGCAGCTCTTTGAGCACCACTGTGAAGTGGATGTGTCTTTTGGGCCCTGGGAGGCTGTGGCTGATGTTTATGACCTGCTGCACTGCCTGGTCATGGACCTCTCAGCCCAGGGCCTCACCATAGACCACCAGTGCATCGGGGTGTGTGACAAGCACCTCATGGACCACTACTACTGCAGGCACCCCATCTATGAGTTCAAGGTCACATGGTGGTGAGTAGCCCTGGTAGGCAAGAGTCCCATCAGGGAGGATGTCCACCCTGCTTGGCAGCTCTGGGAGTAAGATCCCTGAAGGGGCTGCTGACTGCCCCAGAATCTGCCAAGGTGAGGACCAAGTCCTGAGGCACAGCTCCCAGGGGACAGAGGTGCCGCTCCAGTCTCCCTGGCTGCACCTCAGGGTCAGGCTCAGGGCTTGCAGCTGCAGGGACTTGGGCCTGCACTCACCTGGCCTTTCCTCAAGGCCTGGTAGTCTTTCCTTAAGGCTGATAGCTATGGCTTGACCAGGAAGTTCCCAGAGGTTTTGTCACTTTCTTGACCTTGCAAGAGAGTTTCTACCTATTTTAGAGCCACATTACCAAATCGATGTAGGCCTAATCACTTCCTCAACCCTGTTCAAGTATCTCTCTTTTGTTCTGAGTGTATTGGTGTGCACATGGAACATGACGGGGGATTTACCTGACTAGCCACCCCATAGCCCCTGACTGGAGAAGAAAGAGCATCTTCTCTCCCATGCACTCCATCTCCTCCAGCAATAGTCCCCCACATTCTTAAACTGTGGAAAGACTTTTCTTTTTTTGGTCTAGAATATGTTCTTCACCACCTTTTGGAGATTTAATCATAGCTGCCAAAGCTATGCACCCAGGTGGCCTTAGAAAACCACAATGTTTACAGCACCGTCTTAGGGCCGTGGCTTCTCCTAGCTTCCACCACCTTTCTTGCTTGCAGGGTCATCTTCTCACAGGACTGGAATGCAAATTTCAAAGGCTTCTTTTGAAGATTCCCTAAGTCAATCAGACAAGATGCCTAGGTCTTCTGTTACCTTTGACATATAATATCCTTTTTAGAGGCTCAGAACACTTCCTTGGCTGCTATCTCACGTGTTAGAATCCAATTTGTGGTGAACCTCTTTGGAAGGGGATCCCCTCTTTAAACCCTGTTGCTCTCTCCTGCTAACATTCTCCTTCTAGAGGAGCATCTGTTCTGAGAAGATAAAGGAAGGGCTAGGTGAGAGGCACAGCTATCCTAGGAGCCACAGGAAGACAGAGAAAGCTTAGCTTTTGTTTTAACTCCTCGCATTTCAGAAATAGAAACAGATCCCCAAGGATCTGTTACTACTGCATTTTCTTCTTGCTCTCTCTACAGCCTGGGCCAACAAGTCAAGGTCTGGACATGCATCTCCTAAAAGAATAGCTATGTAGCACCACTGATCACAACATAACATTTCCATGCTGCATTAAGGGCGTCTTTCTGTAATCCTGATTGTACTTGTCTCTTTCTGGGTTTTTTTTTTTTTTTTTTTGAGACAGAGTCCTGCTCAGTCACCCAGGCTGGAGTATAGTGGTGAAATACCAGCTCACTGCAACCTCTGCCTCCTGGGCTCAGGCCATTTCCCTGCCTCAGCCTCCTGAGTAGCTGGGATTACTAGGCGCCTGCCACAATGTCTGGCTAATTTTTGTCTTTTTAGCAGAGATGGGGTTTCACCATGCTGGCCAGGCCAGTCTTGAATTCCTATCCTCAGACTCTAAAAGTGCTAGGATTACAGGCGTGAGCCACTGTGCACAGCCGAGAAATCTGCTGTTTATATTGAGGATTTTGTATGTGATGAGTTGTTTTTCTCTTGCTGCCTTTAAGATGGTCTGTCTCTGGCTTTTGATAGTTTTACTGTGATGTGTCTATGCGAGATCTCTGAGTTTTTCCTTTTTCATGTTTATTGAGTTCCTTGGAGGTGTTGATTTGTGTTTTTCATTGAATTTGGAAGGTTTTCAGCCATTTTTTCCATAACTATTATTCTTTTTCCTTTTTTTCTTTTCTCCTGGGATTTCTATTATGCATATGTTGGTATGGTTGATGATCTCCCACAAATCTGAGGGTGTGTTCATTTTTCTTCACTAGTTTTCTTTCTGTTCTTCAGACTGGGTAATTGTTGTCTTTCATCTGCCTGCTTAAGTCAGCCATTGACCCTCTCTAGTAAATTTTTTATTTTAGTTCCTATACTTTTCAACTCCAGAATTTTTCATTTGGTTCTTTTCTAAAAAATAATTTCAGGCCGGGCGCGGTGGCTCACGCCTGTAATCCCAGCACTTTGGGAGGCCGAGGCGGGTGGATCACGAGGTCAAGAGATCGAGACCATCCTGGTCAACATGGTGAAACCCCGTCTCTACTAAAAAATACAAAACATTAGCTGGGCATGGTGGTGCGTGCCTATAATCCCAGCTACTCAGGAGGCTGAGGCAGGAGAATTGCCTGAACCCAGGAGGCGGAGGTTGCGGTGAGCCGAGATCGTGCCATTGCACTCCAGCCTGGGTAACAAGAGCGAAACTCCGTCTCAAAAAAAAAATAATAATAATAATTTCTATCCCTTTCTTGGTAAAGATTTAATTCCTATTTGGTGAGAAATCATCCTCATAATTAACTTTTTTTAGATGTGATCTCTTTTAGTTCTCTGAACTTATTTATAGTAG